GAGCCGTTTGAGAAAACTTTCTTTACCGCACTGGACATTCAGCTCGATAAAATTGATTCTTTCTACTCTGCACGGGAGGCAGAGATGATGGCTCGCACGAAAGCGTTACATGAGCAGTTGGACGAGCTTGGGGACCACAAGGAGTTGGTTAAGGTGCATCTTCTTGTATTGTGCGGAAGGATGTTGTCTAACCTCACCACAAGTCTGTGCATCCTCACAATCTCTCAGCTTGGACCACTTGTCTTGTCAGCATTAGAAACCACTTAAGAATTCCACACGTAATTCCCACCATAATCCCTAATTTTGGCGATCAGCTCACTGGCAACTCGGTTAGTCTTATCTCCTACACAGTGATAGCTCTAACTTTTGCGCTTCAACGCACACATTGTAATAGGGCTACCGAAGGTACGAGTCAGACATTTCTGAAAAGGAGAAAACGCAGCGAAAGGGGAGCGTGGATGCAGATGTAGAGCGAAAGGATGGAAAGAAGCAGCATTCACCCGTCCGGCATATGGGACTTTCAACTGACCCAGAGGACTACCTTTTTGCGAAAAAAAAGCTTAAGAAGGCAGTGTTGGAACATTATCGGTAAGTATCGTTTTGATTCCAGACGGATAACAATACTGATTATCTTTGGACAGAGGTTTGGAAGTACTACAGAACTACCGCGTTTGTGTCCGTTCTCGCCTTCCTGTGTCGCATATCTCATCGGAAATACAGATTCTCAATCTGACGGGCTTTCGGAAGGCTTTGAAAAAGTTTGAGAAATCTACTAAAGTGGGATATCCTTGTTTCTTGTTGCCTTTCATATTACTTATTCTTTCCAGATACGAGCGCAACGGCAATACATGTCTGAGAAGGTACAAATACTGAAGATCATACAGACTGCCCTTGCTGACTCGTACCAAACAGGTTGAAAAGGCATCCTTTGCATCCGGGAAAAACTTGCATGAGATGATGATCGACATGGAGACTCTTTACGCTGCTCGATTCTGTATGTCTTACCGTCCATCGATGAAAATTGATCTCCATTGACAGCCTTATACCAGCTCGGGGAGATAGAAAACGTGCCAGAGTACGACTTCGTGCAGGATTTCGTTATAAAAGTCACCATTTTAGTATTTTCCGTTCTGGTATCTTACTGGGGGTGGCTTTTCCTGCTTTCGTATCAGGACTCTATGCCAGTGCGTGGTTTATAACATTTTTGTGGCTATGCGTAACCCTGTTGCTAGGTTTTCAGCAGTCTACTCGTGATGCCATACCTGCATGGAATGCTCTCTTGTTTGTGTATGGTGTATTTTTCATCCCGGTTCTGTTTTCATTACTCGTTGGCATCAATTTGGTGGTGTGGGCCCGCGCTCGTATCAACTATGTTTTCATATTTGGTAGCCCTGTTTTCCGTTCTATACAACTTGATCTGATGTTCCTCAGAACTCGATACACGGACACGTATGGATTATCACGAATACTATGAGGTGTGTTCTTTTCGCTGAAGATGATCGACACGTCAATACTCCCTCTTTTTAATATAGATCCCAAGTGTCCTATTGGCTGCTCTATGTTGGGCTTTTTGGCTCTCCTTCCACCACATTGGTTTCCCCCACATTTTACCACAATATTGGCTACTCGTATGGCTTGGTTTAACCGGACTCGTTTTACTCGAGCCCCTTCCATTATTTTACAAACCGTCCCGTTACTGGCTCATCAAGAAGACTGCGAAACTTCTTATATCCGGAACTCGCCACGTTGAATTCGCAGACTTCTGGATGGGGTGAGTGGCCCTTTGTCAAATCGACTCTAAGAATCTCATGTTCCTGTCTTCTTCTGGAAAGTGATCAGTACTGCAGCCTCGTGTTTACTATCTCCAACCTTTACTTCTTTGCGTGCATATATGCTTGTAATTTTGATGAAAGCTGGTCCAAATGTGGTGTATCTGGATCATCACAATGGCCTGCCACGTTCGTCCTTGCTTCACTTCCACTGTTGTGTCGTTTTTTGCAGAGTGTGAAACGTTATCATGATTCCGGTCTCGTCACTCATTTGATTAACGTGAGATTTGGTGACCTATCCCCATCTGACCCACAAATTCTCACCCACAAATTCTCATTAGGGTGGAAAATATCTTGCTGGTATCGTCAGTTATCTCTTCTTCTACCTTTGGCGCCAAAAAGGTGTGCGCTTAGGATGTTGTATTATTCCAGCTACATTTGTTCATCAGCACACCTCCACTCTAGGTTCCAAGGCTCACGGTTCAATTTTTGTTCTATGGATCTTCTTCAACACGGTTTATTCAATCTGCGCCTCCGCATGGGTACATGGTCACACTCGAAGTGGGCTGAAAATAAATTAACAATCATCTCTGTAGGACATCCTTATGGACTGGTCTGTCCTTCGTCTGCGTGCGCCTTACCCCCTCCTGCGCCAGGAATTAATTTACTCTGATACAATACCTGTGCGTCTTCCTTGACCATTATCGTTATCATCATCACTCATTCCGAATTTTTTTCATGCCTAGCTATACTATTTTGCCATCGTGAGTACAGAAGTCACCATACGATGTGCATGTATATCTCAATGCTAATAGATAACAAACGTTTTAATCCGCTTTATTTGGGTCATCTACATCCCATATAATGGACCCAGTATATATCTTTGTACATTCATTGGTGCCGTCCTGGAAGCCCTTAGGCGATGGCAGTGGAATTTCTGTACGGCCAGTTCCTTGGTTTCCCTGCTCAATTTCTCAGTCCTAATCCTTATAGATCGTCTCGAGAACGAACACCTCGGTAACATGGATCAGTATCGCGTAACACGCGAGGTTCCGCTTCCTTATTCATTTGACCATACGCATGATGAGGACCCGGACAATGGCGAGGATGATGATGACAAGGCTTTAGAACTTGTCGCCGCCCGTGAAAGAGAGAAGCGACTATCGCGCTTGTCACGCGCTGGAAAGACGATATCGGGTCGAAAAGCGCAGAACCTCCGCTGACATCCACCGAAGTTGGTCAAAGTCGATCCGTTATCGCGAGCTGGGCTATAGTGTGCAAAAGTTGTGGTTCTTAAGACTTGGTTTCCAAACTCGGAAAGCCATCAGATCAACCACACTCCCATGAGCAGGATGTATTGTTAACAATTTTTGCCGACTGCGCTTAACCAGGGCATTCATCCGGACAATCCAGACAACAAACCACTGGTGCGTAGCTCTCGGACACCTACGCACTCATATCCCAGTCACTGACGTCAAATGCGACAGGTTGCAGACCGATTTAAGGAAGTTGTTTTTGACCAGCTACGCCAGAGGAAATTGTGCCATGCTCTTGCCTCCTGCGTAGGATCTGAAGTACTTGGCGCTAACGAATACTTTTGAGACTTGTGTCTTCTCGCATGTACAAGCACGTGCTAGCGGCATAAGCTCCGTGCACATTGCTGCCCCTTACTTCAATGTCTGCACTTGGATTCTTACATCGGCCTTGAATCTATCATCAGAAGAACTGCCCACTTTGGCGAGATAACCTGGAATAAATACCACGCTTCGGTGCAGGGACATCCTCCGCCTCCAGTGTTGTGCTCACAAGGTAAAGGATTGCTCACATACTGGAATTGCACTGATTGGATTACGGGGATGTCCTTTATAGCACCAAGAGTACCTACTACTTCGACTCAATCATCCCACATCTCTCCAGTTCTGGCGTCACCACTCGATGAGCTCACTCCAGCTCGTTGTATCCAATGCGGGTCTTGCTCCTATCATCAAAGGTCATGGGTGCATGACCGTTGAACGATAGACGAGGAGCCGGACGTCGGACGTTGACTTGAAGACGTGGTTGGCTTGTTTGTTGATCATGATTTGTGTGCTCATGGTATCTTTAAACAGTGTTGTGGAGACGCAGGGAGACGCTTGGTGTCAAATGATATGTGGTATCGGCCAGCCCGTGTCCAATTGGTTTGTACGCTCCTTTGCTGTATATGATAACTATCTGTTCCTCTAAAAGCGTGCGCAAGGGGTGTAGGTTGTGTGCTTGTATTCGTCAAAAGTGATTCGTCAAGGATGGCAGGGATCGCTGTATCCTTCAGACGGCGGTTGTCTCAAACCCGATAGTATTTCTCGTCATCCCTCTTAGCTCAGTGGTAGAGCGTGTCACTCGTACTGCGAGGTTATGACAAGGTCAGTCGTTCAATCCGGCTAGCGGGAAAAGGTCAAATGGGTACTGTTTTTTGTTGGCTTTGCTCATCAAGGATGCAAAGCCACACCGCCGGGACCGTGCGCCGGGTGTAGAGGCGTCAGCAAGAGTGGCAGGAGCGACGTGGGCTCTTTGTCATGGCTGTCAATGGTCTCTTTGAGAAAGTAAAAAACACCGTTCAGGATAAAGTAGCAGTTAGGCTGCTCGGCGAGGAAGAAGGTGCGGGCAAACCCATCCCAGGGATAGATATCGATCACCATGGGTTGGACATTTTCCGATATCCTGGGATGATGCCGCCGTTTGCAGAACAAAAACATCATATTATTCGAAAAGATGATCATCCTTTCTATCCAATGATGCATGATGTCTCAGTTTTGCAATGAGATGAGTCAGTTAGATGTCTGGTTAAATGTACCCTCCTTTGCCCTGCCCTGCCCTGTTTCATTCAGGTACCTGCTCTAACTTGACTTTTTTCACTGACGGCTTAGCTTATTACAAATGATCGATGATAGTTGATGGCCAAGTCCCTTTGATGTAGTCCAGGAACCAGGTGCACGATCATGGATGCTAGTTTCCTCGACAAGATTAAAAAGCTCACGACATGTTTGATAATATCTGCGGTTCCAAGATTCTTTGCCAACTTTGGAATGTCGACGTACATGAACGTTCCACCTTCACATGGTGCACTTTGGGTTTGTACTAGCATTGTTCACTTGCGATGCAACAGATACGCGGTAGCTTCGGGTGATCTAGCTAATAATACAGTTTCTCACATCTCGCATACTGTTTCAACTTGTGCAACAGCCCGGGGTGTCTCATGCCGTAGTGTATGAGAAATCACTCTGGATTTGTGGCATGAAGTATACTCCAATGACTGTTCTATATGCACTGGTATGTACTCGACTGGTTCAACGAAACAATTTCTGAAAGTATCACTGACACACAGAATCGTTATCTTTCCCCACTGGGATACATCATCATTATCGTTTGCAAGTCTCTTTTTTGTAATCTGATATTGAATTACCAACCTCACTCATCAGCATTTCATGACCCATGGCCCAAGACAGTCTGCAATCGTTATGTGTTGTTTCCGGAGGCTCTCAAGATAGTCACGGCATTTACAATTGGAGGTAAGTGTTTCGGTTTCTGAGTTTACGGTTGAGGTTGATCATTTCTCCACTGTAGTTATTTTCATTGTCCGTCTGTATGCCATATACTCTCGAAGTACAGCTGTGGCCATCCTGGGAGCCATTTGTCTTGCAGCAGAACTAGCCACAAAAATTGTTAGTCATATTTTTGAATAATGACATAAAATTACGAGACTGATTACTTTCATGTTAGTGGTCTTTCACTGATGGTACAAGCCTTGATCTCCCTGCAGGTGCGCATTGTATGGCTAAAATCCTCTTTTGACTGATTTGCCTCTATCCAGGTCTCGTCGGCTGTATACTGGTTGGCAAATCAGGCATGTGAGTGTTTGCGCCTCTGCAGGAGAACCTCATAGTAATAATCTCACTCAGACGCTTTGCCTTTACATGGATAGCAGAATTGGGTTTTGGTCAGTTTAGCTCATGATATTTTGTACGACTATTTCCTTGATTTTTTATTTACAGACTCAGTAATGTTCTTCACAATGCTTCTTCGCATGTTGCAATATAGACATAAGCCAAACAACAAGGCTAGTGGAAGTCTCTTAGAGCTTATATTTCGTGATGGCATGTCTCAAGTATCCTGTCACATTTGTCTTTGATTCTCAAGGTACATGACAGGAGTGATATATTTTGCTGTCATATTTGTTGCAAATCTTGTCACTGTTCTCATTTTCATGGTGAGTCTATCTAATTGAGCATCATTCAAGCTGACAGTGAAACAGCTTGCACCTGTGAGTTTTTCTTCAAGCCACTATTTTGGAATTTGACAAGATTTTTACTACTACTACTCATTTATACAGGCTGACATAAAAGCAATCAATGCAAGCTTTAGCACTTTGTGAGTATCACTGACTTTCCTTCTTTATTTCATCTAGCATCAACTGTGCATATTCTTGATTTAGGATTACAAGCCTCATGGTGTCAAGACTTATTCTCAACCTTCGGAGTACTTCAAGCAAGAGTGTCATTTTGCCTTTAGGGAGCCAAAAGGGGTCTCAACCTGAACAAACGCCGATGTTGCTGCCTCCTCAGGTACATACATGATGAGGCAAGCCAGATGGAGCGACGTTGAAAAGACTGCTCAATCTTCGTCACTGCAAAGCCTGCAACATGATGCTTTCTCCTTAATCGTGTAATTTAATCTCATTTTGCAAGTGTAAATTATACAAGTTCTATGAACCACCAATTATATATTCTAGTATTTATTTATGTGTTTGTCCTTTTACCCCCTAGTAAAAAAAAGAGATGGATGTGTTGGAGCCATTCAAAAAGGGGAAATACTGACTGCTCAGTCCCATTCCCTCTAGCCGACTTGAACGACTGACCTCGTCATTGTAACATGCTAAAGCAAGCAGGTACTAGTGACGCGCTCTACCACTGAGCTAAGAGGGAATTGATATTCGAGAGATGGTGGGGGACACAACTAGTTGCGCCGTTGTAAGATCAGGTTCGGATGATGGATCGATGATTTTTAACTGGAACGATGGGCCCGTTTCCCCTGCCCGGAGAAGAGTTTCTGCTTTCGACTTTCCTCCGAGTCTTCCCTCTAGCCGACTTGAACGACTGACCTCGTCATTGTAATATGTGCCACCTCTCCTATACTAGTGACGCGCTCTACCACTGAGCTAAGAGGGACATTGATGTACAACAGGCGGTGGGTGTCAGGACGGGCCGCCATTGGCAAGATGGTGTGTTGTGTGAGGATGGGCCGTTCTCCCCTTGCTGCTAGAGCAGTGACGGACTTGGGTAGGTTGTGATGTCCGTTTTCGAATCGGACACCCTCTGCGTCTCTGCGGGATCTCTTTTCTGTACAACACATACCTTCTTCTGCTGATCCATGCCGACGACGGACCAATCGAGGATCCTCACGTCGGTTGAATAGGAGTGACGGAAACGGAAGAGTGGATATGGCATGGATGCATTATGCAACAGAGATAAAAAAAGATCATGAGCACGCTGCTTACGTCCGTCTCCGCGGGGGTTTTCCGAGTCTGTCTTCGTGCATTGTACACAAGAAGGGACATGGGCATTCTCCGCGCCGTGTGTCGTATGCACCCGTCCGAGTCGGATGCAACCGAAAGAGCTCGATACCACGTCAAAATTCTTGCGTTATTTTACATAGACAACCCGTCCGGAAAAAAAAGATCAACATCACACACGTCTGGTCTGATTCCCTCTAGCCGACTTGAACGACTGACCTCGTCATGGTGAATTATGTCCCACCTATCATATACTAGTGACGCGCTCTACCACTGAGCTAAGAGGGACCCGCGGGGATTGGAGTCGGATGCATGTGCAGACAGTCTACGCCTCTAGCCGCAGAACTTTGCTACTTTGCTTCTTCTCAGGTACTTGATCAAGGCCTCAACTAGGATAAGATAAATGTTATGAACCAAACCCGTCCGAGAATAAAAAACAAAAAAACAATCAGATCACACACGTCTGATTCCCTCTAGCCGACTTGAACGACTGACCTCGTCATTATATTATGGAGCCCTCGAGATACTAGTGACGCGCTCTACCACTGAGCTAAGAGGGACGTGCCGACTAATCGGGATTAACTCTATACACCTTAAAACGCTAACTACTCTGCTACGCACGCACTCGGCCAGGAACTAAATAAACCAAAAGCCAAAGCCAAAGCCGTTCGGAGAAAAACAACTCCTAAACCATACGATACGATACGATTCCCTCTAGCCGACTTGAACGACTGACCTCGTCATCGCAGTGAAATACTATTTCATACTAGTGACGCGCTCTACCACTGAGCTAAGAGGGAGGGTGGTGTTGCCCAGGCGGGGGTGGACAAGTGGCCCGGGGATTGTTGGCGGAGCACGCGAGGGTGAATGGCGGTTGGGGTCGTAGTATTTCTTCCTCCTTGCCTTGTGTGTTTTTGGAATAAGAAGTGTCTTTCGCGACTTAGTGATTGGTCTGAGTGAGTGAGTGATTCAAGTGATTGATTCAAGTGATCCGTGATAGACGGCTATCGAGGGAACATGGACACGAACACGAACATCGAACATCAAAAAAAATGATAGACAGAGAAACGGTAACGGAGAGGAAAGAGCGCTTCGGGCAGGGCAGAGCATGAAAGGTCATCAGATACATGAACGAGGGTGGGAGCGGGACACAAAACGCCATATCACAACTAGGGGTAAATCGAGTAGTTGAAAAAAAAGGCAGAAAATAACAACACAGACGCAGACGCAGACGTAAAAAAAGCAGGGGTAACGACGACGACGACGACGACGGGCACCAAGAACACAGCGATCACCCACGCACCCACGCGACTCCTCGATCCCCCCCAACCCCCCCCCCCCGACCCCCACACCCACCCCCAGCGATTTTGTTCGTTTTCGTTTTCGTTTTCCTACTTGCCCGCGGCGCCCCCGCGCCCCCTCGGCGCGCCCCGGCGCTGGTACCCCCCGCGGTGCGGCTCGCCCCCATTCACATTCCCACCCCCGGCACCCGGCGCACCTCCCGCACCCGCACCGGCGGCGGCACCAGCGCCAGCGCCGGGCGCGCCGCCGCGCGGGCGGCTGGGCGGCCTCTCCCCGCGCTCCTTCTTCGTCTCGACGGAGATGCGCAGCTGCCCCGCGTCGCCGCCGACGTCGACCCATATCGGGGACGCGGCGATCGCGCGGCGCGCGGCGTCGATCGAGTGGAACTCGAGGAAGGCGCAGGCTTTGGAGCGCACGATCTCGAGGTCTTTGATGGGCCCGAAGCGCGTCGTCAGCGCTGCGCTGAGGAGGGGCTGCGTGAGGGGCTCTGTTACGCCCTGTGGGGGGGAGGGGAGGGGTTAGTTAGTCTGGGAGGAAGGGAGGGAGAGAGGGGGGGGACGGACTTTGACGAAGCAGTGTGCGGTGGTGATGCTTGCGGCGGCGAGGGGGCCGTATGTCGGTTGGTGCTGGTGGTGGTGCTGGTGGTGGTGTTGATGCGGGTGTTGCTGTTGCTGTTGCTGTTGTTGGGGCTGTGACTGCTGTTGGGGCTGCTGCTGCTGCTGCTGCTGCTGCGGGGGCTGGCGCGGCGCGGGGGGCTGGGCGGGTGCGGGCGCGGGCGCGGGCGGCGCAGCGGGGCTCTCGGTGACGCCGCGGGACTCTTGCGCGACCTTGGCGCCCCATTTGTTAGAGTTGGACGCGGCGAGCGAGGCCCAGGTTTTGGGTGCCGCTGGGGCTGGGGCTGGCGCCGGCGCCGGCGCGGGTGCGGGTGCGGGCGCGGGGGTCGCGGGCTTGGAGGGGGTGGGCGCCGCGGCGGGCGCGGGTGCCGGGGCGGGTGCAGCGACGGGGGCTGGGGTGGCAGCGGCGGGCACGGGCTCCGGTGCGGCGGGGGTCTCGGGCTCGGGGGTGTGGACGCCGTTGGGGGCGGCGGTGGGCGTCTGGGGGGCCGGGGCGGGCTCGGGGACGTCGGTGGTCGGGGGCTCTTCGGCGGGGGCGGCCGGAGGGGGCGAGGGCGCGGCGGGGGGAGGGGAGGGCGGCTTGGCGGGCTCGGAGACGTCGGCGGGGGCGGGGGCGGGGGCGGGGACGTCGGCCGGGGGCTCGGCGGGTGCGGCGGGGGCGGCCTCCTGGGGTGCGTCGGGGTCGTCGTCGCTGTCGACGGTCTCCTCCTTGAGGAAGCGGAAAATGTCGTTGAGGACAAAGTAGCCGTTGGGCTGCTCGGCGAGGAAAAAGGTCTGGGCAAACTTGCGCCAGGGGTCGCCGTGGTTGGACATTTCGCCGATGACCTGGATGATGATGCCGCCGTTGGCCGAGCACTGGGCGTCGACCGAGTGGATGAAGACCTTGCAGTCCTGGAAGCCGATGGACTTTATCTTGTCGTTGATTTCCTGGCGGGGGGTCAGACGGGCGGCGACACGCGGGGCGGGCGCACCTTTTGGCCAAAGCACGGCTTGACGTCCTCGCCCTCGGTGCCGTGGGTGAAGGTGGACGCCTTTGTGTAGAAACAGTGGAGACGGTCGGGCTGCTTGTTGACAAAGGTGTAGTACTGGGGCACAAACTGCCAGCCCACTTCAGAAGGAACGACGGGCGTCGACGCAGCGGGGTTGGTCATCTGCAGCACACGTCAGCGCCGTCACTGAGCAGCACACCCACTTACGGGAACTCGAGTCTGGTGGGAGTGGGCACGAGAGCAGGCAAAAAAAAATTACCCAAACAGTGTCCGCGATTTGCCGAACCAACCGACTTGGTCCCGATCACCATGCTCCCGCTCCTCGTCTGCCTCTGTCTCTGCGCCAATGCCGTCTATGCGTTCGGCGCCGGCAACATCCCCTCGTGCGTCTGTCCCCCGTGCCCCGCGCCCGCTCACACGCCCCCAGCTTCGCATACATGGAGGGCCGCGCCTTCCGCCACGGCGACATCGTGAGTCCCCCGCCGTCCCCCGCACGCCGTGCCCCCTCACCCCGCCCAGGAAGACACCCTCGCCGAGCTCGTCAAGGGCGGCGCCGGCATCGCCGCACTCGCCTCAATGATCGCCGGCGGCCGCAAGTTCAACGGCCTCGACATCAAGCGCGTCTACTTTGGGTGCGCATCGCCGCCGTCCCCGTCCGCATCGCTCCTCACCGCTTCTCCCCCGCAGCAACTGGTTGCGCGACTACAGCCAGGCACGCCCGATTTCACTCTGCCTCGCGATCTATGATTCATCTCCGTGATAGGCTATTGACATTGCCGCGCTCAAGAAGATGCCGCTCCAGGTGCGTGCCTTTGTGCTTGCCGTATGCGGTCTCACGCCACGCCGCACCGCAGACAATCATGAACCTCCTCATGGTCCTCGGATTCATGGTGCGTCGCATCGCACCGCACGCCCCGCACCGCCCGCACCGCCGCTGACACGCACCCAGGCGCACGGCTACGCCACACACGAGTTCGAAGTCACCCCCGAGCGCATCGGCGTCTACCTCCCCGTCGAGCACATCGACAACCCCAAAGGCTACGGCGACGGCGAAGACGCGCGCAGGTACCACCCTGCGCTCCGCCCCCCCGTCGACGTCAGTCCCCTCCCTTCCCTGCTCACTGCGACTGCGACTGACTGCACCACAGCCCCGCGAGCTCGAGATCGACCCGCGCACGGGCATGAAAAACTACATCGCCAACGGTGCGTGCGCGCGCCCGCCGTCCCGCGTGTCGATCCGCTGCTGACCCCGCGCAGAACAGGGCGGGTGGGACACCTCCAAGGCGCTCGTCCGCCGCCTCCTTGAGCGCTGTGTCCACCTCGGCAGGCAGCACCGCGCCCAGGGGCGCAAGCAGGACGAGTATGAGGCGTTTCGCCTGCTTGGCACGCTCGTGAGTGGTTTTGTACTCGGGAGAGACGATGGCTCATTTGTTGTGTGCTATGATTCAACCTGTGCGGTTCGCTTGTCGTTTGTCTCGTGTCGTATTTTTGTATTTCCCTTGTCGCTGTCGCTTGTACATTTTCGCATTTTCACTTATCGCATTTCCGCAATTTCCCTTGTCCTTGTCGCTCGTCATAATATCCCTCGGCGCTTGTCTCATCGTCGCTTGCCATGTTCCCTTGCTACATTCCCGCAACTTCCTTGCCTCCTTGTCGCATTCTCGCAACCCCCCTCTCGCATTCCTCATCGTCGCAGCTGCACACCCTAGAAGACTTCACCGCGCACTCCAACTGGTGCGAGATCACACTCGGCATGATGGGGCACCACGACGTGTTCCTGCACGTCGGGGACCAGGTACGCGTGCAGGCGCCCAACGGGCAGTGGGTCGCGCCCATCGTCACCGGTGCGTCCCGTCCCGTCCCGTGCCTCCCCCCCTTTATTGTTTTTTTGAACGACGAACAGGCACGTTTGGCTCGAGCGACTTTTTCCACTCCCTCTTAGGCGGTGCGTCTCCACGACTGCCCTGGCTAAAGACTGACGACTGACGGCACACAGAGGCGGGCGACCACCTCTCGCAGGCGTCCGTGACGGACCTGAACAAGTCCCTCGACAGCGCGCGCGCGCGCTCGGTCTCCGGCTCTGGCCCCGGCACGCGCGGCGGCGGGGGCGGGGGCGCGGACCCCGCTGCGGTGCTGCGCGATTTGTTCTTTAGTATACCTGGTGGTGGGGGCGGCGAGCTGTCGCGGGAGATGGAGGCTGTGGAGAGGATCCGGGCGGGTGGTGTGCAGGGGCAGGGGCAGGGGCAGGGGTGGCAGGGCCAGCAGGGGCAGGGGTGGCAGGGGCAGCAGCAGGGGTGGCAACAAGGGCAGGGCGGGAAGAGGCCGGAGGAGATGTCACCGCAGGAGCTGCATTCTGTGCTTTGGCAGGTGTTGACGTTTCGGGACTCGGGTGCGTTGATGTGTTTTTTCATGCGGAGGGAACAGGGGGGGGCTGATTTTGACTTTGGGTAGTTATGAAGAAGATTGAGAAGACTATTGAGAGGATACCGGGGTTGGGACCGCTTATTGAGAAGATTACGGATTCGATTTCTGGTGCGTTGCGTGTGTGTCGTTTTTGGGGTGTGTGGCGCAGGCTTAGTGTGGTGTGGGTTTTTTTTTCTTGTCTCGCTCTCTATAGTTTTTGTGTTTACGACGCTTGAGGTGTGTGGTTTGTTTGTGCGGGTTTCGAGTCGTCTCTTATCTTTTGCTCTCGCTCTCTCTCTCTCGCTTCTTTGTAGCCGTTCCTGAAGCCGATCTTGAAGACGTCCACCTCGGCATTGTCGGATATCTCTGGGGAGGTTATCAACAGCCACGATCAGTACGAGGTGTTCAACGATCCCCGAGCCGTGCGTTGCGTCTTTTTTTGCTTTGCTTTGCTGTCGTGTTTTTATCTCGTGCGCGCAGTCGGATCCTACG